GGTTTAAAACACTTGAATGTTTAAATCGGCAAGACTTAGAAACACGTGCATACGATCAACTATGATCCGTTTTACCCCTACAAGCTAGTGAACAATGCAAAGCAAGGAAGGAATTTTATATCACTGTTCAAGATAGCCCGTCAGGCAGGGCGGTGATACATTTTGGTAGCCCGACTGGAAAACACAATAGCCCCGGGACGTCGGGCTAGCGATTTTGCAAGCCCTGGTTAGAGTAATATTTGATATATAAATCTTTAAAGTAATAAAAACAGATAGGATAAAATTTCTTCCTGGAAAACAAAATGTGATTAATCACAATTTCTGAGTAAGAATGAAATTGTAATAATATAAAATTTGGTACATATGTTTAAAATGATTAAACATTTTAATTAACATCTAGCATGCCTAAACTCTTCTCATCCCTAAACAATGCATTTTGTACATTTTTTTATAATGTTGCATGAACCCTCTTGTTGGCCACTTGGAGGTCCCTGGACCCTATTTTGAAATCCCTTGTCTTAAAATATTTATTGAATCAGTTAGTTCTGCATATCCAGATTGTATTTTAGCAGGATATTCAACGCTTTTGCATTAGAATGTTATAGGGTTTTCTTGCTTTTACATAATGCCACCAACGTTCTTTCGTTTACTTGTTTATGAACTTTGAGGGGATTGTTTTGTCTGCAGAAACCGATCTTCAACACTGTGACCCCAGTTGCTGCCGCCACTGTAGCTCCTATCTTAGCTACCAACTCTGCTTCATCAGCCACCACTACAGGTTACTTTTTCCCCAAAGGTTATTCACAGACAAAACATTTCACTTTGTGTAAACTCTGTGTACCCTAAAACAGGCTCTTCACCACATACTCAAATGACCAGTAACACTATTGTCACCATGACAATGGCCTCTCACTCCTCCCATACTACAGCTGTGACCACCTCTGCCATCCCTGTCGGTAAGCACAACCCATTCACGTGTTTATAGCATTCAAGATTATTGCTACTCTTTGTTTAAAGATTCTGAATCAAATCAGAAAAAGGTTTGAGTTTCAGGGCTGAGAAAGAATGTTTAATGTAACCCTGTGTCTACACCAGATTCGAGCAGCGCGACAAGTCATTAGAACCCATTATAATCAGCGATGCAAATCAATCCAAATTTGGTCGACCAAGCCTCTTCTCACTGACTAATGTTTGGTCGACTATTAGTGGGCAGCCCTAGTCAATTATTGTAGTGAGGCAGCAAACAGGATGCAGATTTAAAATTCATAGTTGATAGTTTGTTTGATAAATAGACTGATATTTTGCATGATGGATGGGTCGGTAGTTTGTTTAGATAAATTGATTCATTCATTCTAGGATTAGAATCTTAGGTAGGTTAGAACTGACTCTGTTTTTCATTCTTGCTTAATGTTTCTGGCCTCTCCAGCTAAAGTGGTTCCTCAACCGATTGCCCACACTTCCCCACGCATCCAGCCAGAGTACCCAGGGGAAAGAACCAACCTGATTCCCATCCCAGGTCATCGCTCTTCTCCAAACCCTGTCACCATGGAGGCTCGCAGCGATAACAGGTGAAGCTTCTCTAAAAACTCCTCTTGTGATGGTTAAGCTCTGGCAGTTAATCGTGAATGAATCGGGAGTGGTGTCCAATCCTGCGCCTGTAGGACCACTGTTCTGAGTTTAGCTCCAACCCCGATTAAATGCACTTGCACCAAGGTAATCAAGGTCTTCAGGATGTAACACCTTCAGGAGCAAGATTGCACACCCCTGAATTAATTCAACTAAACCAAAGCAATCAGTTATCAATTATCAGTGAATTGTGTCATGAAGCTTGTGTCATGTTTAACCGTTTGTGTTCTTCTGCAGGCCGTCAGTGCCAGTGCAGTTTCAGTACTTCTTACCCACATACCCCTCATCCCCATATCCTCTAACCCACACCTACACCCCCATTACCAGCTCGGTCTCCACCATCCGCCCTTACCCAGGTAAACACAACCTACCAGAACCTCTGTGCTAATATCTAAGGGCCTGTTTACGTCTGGTAACTTCATGCGCTTTATCTGATCGGATAGCTATCCTATTGTGAAAAGATCAGGTGTAAATGCCCTTTGAAACGCTTTCGAGGCGGATTTCCATCCGATGGCTCAAACCACTTCAGGAGGTGGTCTGGGCCGCATTCCAGATGAAACTGGACAAGTGTAAATGCATCTGGTTGTTGAAACCACATACGTAAATTTGTTAAAATAATGAATGTGTGAGCGTGTTATAGGCTACATGATATGTTATAGTCAGATATGACTGACTATAATCATTGCCGTGGATGAGTATCTATTCAAAAATCCAACTCGCAAACTGAAACTGAAAGATGCAGACACTTATGTAGGGGAATTACAGGGAACCATAGTCCACAGTTTCGCTCAACACACAATCATCTTCATTAAAAGTAGTGAGACTAGCTTATCTTTACAGTTCTGATGCCACACTCTCTTCTATTGTGGTCTTTGATTTTGAAATTAGCTGATAGTGAATAAAATGCAGTGCTTATCTGTTGCTTTTGTTGAGGTGAACTCAATTAAATTGCATATAGCGTGGGAATTAAAGATCGGATTTATATCCGTTTTGCAAAGACACATTTATTTAGCCTAGTGTAAATGGAAACGTTTGAACAAATCAGATAGATATTTGATCAGCAAAAATGGATGAAGTGACCAGGTGTAAACAGGCCATAAATGTTTTTTAGACCTCCAACCAAGATGCTTTATTCCTCAGTCACGGCTCCATCTCAGAGCTCAGCTCTTCCTGCTCAGGCAGGTGTTGGTGTGGCCACCACTGTGCACTTGAACCCCATGCAGCTGATGGCAGTGGATCGCATTGGTCTACAGTCTGCCCAGATCAGCACTCAGAACATTCAGCCAGCCTCTATGACTGCTCAGGGCATTCAACCTGCACCAATAGGAGTTCAGGGGCTGCATGCCACTGCACCAATCAGCACCCAGAGCGTACAGCAGGCTCCAGTCGCCACACAACAGCCACAGTCAGAAGCAAAACCACCAGGTAAGTTTAGCAAAGCCCCATTCCTTTCAAAGATATTCAGAAACTTTGATTGGAAAATTATTCTTTTTTAAATCCAAATTAAAGAAATTTTAGGTAATATCAAAATGGATTATCTAAAAGGGAATCTTTGCTTGATCACTTATTGTGCTTTATGAAATCTGTTTTGTTATACAGGTGTTGTTTTGGCTGAAAGTCCTGCTTTTGTCACAAATCCAATCGGGAGCACTTTTAGTGGCACACAGCCTGTCACTACGATGGTGCCGACACACCCCCAGGGGGCGGCTACAGGTGCACCCACACTTGTCTCCTCCCCCCGACCTAGCATCCTTCGCAAAAAAACTGTGAACGAGGGGTGAGTCAGCTTTCATTCCACAGCCTGTATTACCGTTTCATAGCATATATATTTATAGTATGGTAGCTACTGAGTATGGTAGCTACTGAGGGGCCAAACTATCCTTCTTATATGAACATTTTAATTCATTCACCCCCTCATTATTGCCGTCCTGAGAAGTAACCCAGTATCATGTGTTTGCATCTTTAAAAATAGAGTTGATGTTGATAAAATAGTGTAAGACCGCTTTTGGGGTGTATTTCTAGGGCAGTGCGTAAAAGTCTGATCCCAGCGCAGCCAAGTGAGCATATCGCTGGCCGAGTGGATAGTGGGATAAGGCTCTCAGGATCCCCTCGCCCAGCGGGGTAAGCCCTGCCTGAAAATCCTTCGTTATCCTAATAAAAATTGGACAAAAGACAATGTTCCTAACACAGGGTTCCCACAGTCCTGGATGAGCGTGATCTTCAGGCCTGAGAATGAAAATGCACCCTATTTATTTTTCAAATGCATGTTATAATCTATTGTTAATGATTAATCTATGTATATTTTTTATTTATAACTTTTTTTTTACTTTGATTTTTTATCAATTTTAATCAAAATATCATAACTGGACCTTCCAGTAAAATTGATCATGCTCTCTTGGCGTATACAGGACGTCCCCAATTATTTAGTCCGCTTAAACCTTGTCCTTGCAAACAAGCATTCATTTGCCTCCATTTTTGAGTGCAACAACCCACACCAATGAAAAATCCAAAACGTGCCCATCTACGTTTTTTTCCCCCTCTTTTTCATTAAAGCTGCAGTCCGTAACTGTTTATTCAAAAATAAATTTTTGAATAAGTACATAACCAGTCAGTGTTCAAAACATCCTTACCTTAGCCCGATTCACAACGGTTAGCTTATAGGTCTAATAATGTTTTCTATTTTGAGTGGTACGGGTAGGTTTTCGTGGGAAATTCAAGCATGTCGACATCATTACATCACATCACACCTGTAAACATAAAGAAGACGTCCCGGCTAGTAGGCTATATCGCATGTGAGGATGCTGCTGGTGGCGGATCGTTTATAGCCTTTTCTCACAGCAGCTGGAATAATTAAATTTATCATTTTGATGGCGGATTGTAATCTGGAAAGTATTGTTTATGAAACAATGAAAAAGTATATTCCAGGTTTAAATGTGCATCTGATTACAGATATCCTACGTGGGATTGCAAGTTTTGTCTTTCAAAGTGAATCAGTGCTAAGGAAGAATAATTTGCTTTTTGGGTTGAAATAATTTCTAATGAAGTTTGAATATTATGACAATTAGAGATTAGACTGTACAGAAATTGAAATCTACATGTAACGCTAATACACACTATATACACGTAGTTACGTAATGCTGATATTTATAACATTAACAATTTATGAACAATGTATAACAATAATAAAAATTGGTGCAGTTTTTATTAGGGATGTAACGATTAACCGCAAGCCGGTAGAAAATTGATTCAAATATGTGGCGATTCAAATCAGTTGAGATGCCAAACAAATCGCGATACAATTGGAGTAGGAGTTTATATAAATGTATGTGAGGGGAACTGATTGTCTTTAGAAAAGTTTACGTGGTATTTTCTTTTTTTTATCTTGCCTCTGAACGATGCATATTAGTGTTCATAAGCGCAGCTCTGCTTTGTTTACAGCGGTAACCTAGAAAACACTACATCATTGCTGTTCATAAGCGCCACCTGCTGGCAGAGAGTGAATTTGCGTCTCATTCAGCTCATCTGCTGTTTTGTTCTGATATGTTTTATGTAGTATAGTTTCACAAAACTAAAGTCATACTATTCTGTTTTTGCTTCAAATTTCGAAATGATACAGTCTAATTTAGATTAAAAACTGCTTGTGCTGTATGTATGCGGAATCCTTGTTTGGATGATGATTAAAATGCAGTGGTTGCCTCTCATTTTAAATGAAAAGAGCACAGACAAAGCCTTATTTTTTTTATATGAAGAGATTTATTTTGTGTAACTTGCTTATTTGATTTGGGGTTTTGTTATATTTCAATTTCACAAAGAAACGTGCAGCAGTAGCCTAATAAAAGGACGCCTCATTTGCTGTGTAATGTCTTCAATCTCATTTTGTTAAAAATATCGTGAGAAAATCGAATCGTGAAATCAAAATCGTGAATAGAATCGTGAGTTGAGTGAATCGTTACATTCCTAGTTTTTATGTGATATGAGCTAAGCGATCGTTAGATTTAATCACCATTGGTAGCGCGATTAATGCTTTTTTCCTCAGTTGGTCAGAACAAAAGTGGCAGACTTGTTACTTTGTTCAGCTAACAATATCCAGTGAAAATTCTTATTTGGGTCATACTTCCAAGATGTAGGCTAGAGTCTGTGATTCCAATGTACAGTATCCAATGTACAGCCACACATACACCTCCTCAAAACATTAAGATTCATCCGCACTGAGGAGCCGTGGCGACGCACAGCCCACGTAAAGAAAATAATTCTGCAAATAACCGCACTTGCAGGTTTCAAACAGAGATGGCAGCAAAGAGGCAAAACGTACGGATTGCAGCTTTAATCATTTACACTCAGATGTATATCACAGTGCTGAAGAAACGATATTTCACTATTTCTGTTTAAATTGGGTCCAAGCAAGGATATGGAACAGCCATGGACATTTCTTCATAGTTCAGTTCTGCAGTATTTCCTCTGCTGGAAATTACAAGAAATTGGGTGTGACTGCTATAAAATTATTTTTTAAATTCCTGATGGAAAAATCTAATGTGGGAACCCTGTTAACAGTGCATGTGATCTGATTGTCTAAAACTGGGTTTATGCATGCAGATCTGAATGTGTAATGTGGTTCCGCTCTTTCTGTAATTAGAGTGAAGCCCAAATCTGATGTTCATGTTGCAATGGCGCCCCCAGTAATGGCAACTGTGGAGGCTCTTCCGAGTCACGGAGGTGAGCAGCAGGCACTGTCCACTCCTACCCAGCATCACTCACAGGCCATTCCCACCCTTCTGGCCCCACCAGCTCCAACGCCTCCCTCTCAGCCCACTGCCATTCTTTCAGCCCTGCCTGCAGCCATGGCTGTCACTCCCCCTGTGCCTGCCTCCATGGCCAATGCAGTGGCTTCTCCCACTCAGCCAGCGGCCACCAGCACTGCTGCCCTGAGCTCCACCCTTCCAGAGGTTAAAGTGAAACAGGAAACTGAGCCAATGGACACTACACAAGCAGGTAGGAGTGCTTGTCAAAACAGGAGTCCACATATCGCTATACAGTCATAACAGCTATAAACAATTGACCTTATGATATTGGTTATTTAACCATTCCTGCTGTTTTTCAAGGGTGGGTACTCTATTTACTGTATGTCCATCAAACAAAATTACGTACCTGATGATTTTGGAATAAGTTACTTTAAATGCAGTTTTACATAGTTTATTATTGTGCAGAAAGTATCAGGTTATGTTTAAATACAAAATATAAAGGTGGAATATGAGAAAAAAATGAAATTACAATATATTTATGAGTTCTCTTTTTTTGCAGTGCCCATGGCTCCTTCTTCAGCAGGTCCAGCTCCATCCCTCTCCTCCCAGGCCTCCACCCTGGCCATATCTACTCAACCCGGAGACCTCCTGCCTGGGGCCTCTCCAAGAAAAAAACCCCGCAAACAGCAGCATGTGATCTCCACTGAGGAGACAGAGATGGTGGAGACCAACAGCACAGACGAAGAGAGAGCTAGCAGCCGAGCTTCAGGAAACAGACCTGGAAGACATGAGTCTCCACCTAGGGAATATGTTGGTGAGATTATCCATGGATATATATTGTACCTTTTAGAAATCATTAAAAAAATATTTTATAGATGCAGTCTGCACCATGCAACAAAAGTCACAAAACTGATTGCCATTAATGTCAGAAACATTAAAATTGCTGATTATGTAAAATTGCACTAAACAGGTATTTTTTTCTGATAAATGAAACAAACTGTTGATCGTTTAAAAATAAATAAATAATAAATTAATTAATAACACCAGTGTAAGTAATCGTGATTAATTGCACCTAACAGTAAAATAATTTTGAAAATAGCAATAAAATGTGTAATCGTAAATATATTTTCACATTGAATATCAAAATTAATGTGAAAACAGTATAAAGACAGTATTATAAAAAAAAATTTTAATTACCTTTTTTAAGTACTGACTGAATGCCAGTTTTACTGACACTGATGCCTCCATTACTGTAAATAGATTTTTTTTTTACAGAACATTAAAAACATAATAGCAACTTTTAATTTAAGTGAACGTGAAAACAATATTCACATAAATGAATTAGAATAAATTATAATAAAGATTCATACACATGTAATTTTTTAAACATAGCTGTCAACATGAACATGTGATTTAATTTTTTAACTACCTTCTTTAGCATTAGAAATGGCTTATAAATATGAACAATTTGGACTAATGTCAAAAATCATAAATAGGACTCATTGTTTCCTTCGAAAAGTTTACTTGCACCAAATATAATTTTATGTATTGTATGTTATTTTTATTATTTTTTTTCAATTTCCGTTTGATATTGGTTAGCAGTGTAAATTTGTAATACCCCCAAAATGGGTGTACACTTGTTCAGTTGTAACATTGGTTGTATTAATACAGATGAGGACGGTGTTCGTTATGTACCAGTCCGCCCCAGACCTCCCCTTACTCTGTTGCGCCAATACCGTAACCCATGGAAGGCTGCCTATCACCATTTCCAGAGGTACAGTGACATCAGAGTCAAAGGTAAGTACCGTTTGAACATTGTCTGCTTGCTCAGTTTTTCCTTGCTCTTTTTAAAATTAGGGATGCACCGATACCATTTTTTCAGATCTGATCCGATGCCAAAAATTCTGAGTATCAGCCGATACCGATACCAATCCGATACCAGAACGTTTTTTTATTTTTATAATCAATGTAGAATTTCTATACCTCAGTGTGTTGACCTGATCATCATTGTTTTGTGTGTTAAACACAATCTACTAAATATAGACAACTTAATTTTAAAGAAAAATAAATGAAACTGGTAAAATGTTACACATTGCTCTTTGTATTGTTGTAAAATAAATTCATGAAAAACAAGTAAATATATTTATATGTAAATATATACTATAAAATTAAAAGACATTCCTTTTAAATGTACAGCACAGTAATGGAGGCAGCAGCATATGATAAATAGGACAGAACAAGAAAGGTTATTAATAATCTTTCATTGCGCAAAAGTATTATAATACGAAAGGCTCCAATACAGAGCGGCACGAAGCGCTTATGCGCATCCCGTGCACAGAATGATGCGCTTGAAGTCACAGTGCGCGGCATAGAAAAAAGTTCATGAAAAGTTCAAAGCACAAAGTGAAGAGATATTGATGCGTAGTGTATTAAATCTGTGCGATAGTTTATTGAGCCTTTTCTTTTTACAGTTTTAAATTTCAGTTACTGCGCTCTTGGAGAGAGTTTCATCGTCTTGACTGTCGTAACCGAATGCGACACGCAGTTTGAATGCTGAATGGAGGATGACAGACAGCCACATCGGAGAGAAGAGTTTCCATGAACTTGACATTTGATACAGGAACTATTCAAGCTGTTCATGCCAGACTGGGGAGAGAGGTGTTGTAATAATGTAAAATATGTGAAAAATAATGTGTTTTTCGAACAACCTAGTATGAGAGCCTGTTCTAGTACACCTCCAAAACAAAATTGAGACTTTGTAAAAGAGCATAATAGGACCCCTTTAAATATTCATCTGTACCTCACATTAAACTATGTAATGGCTTCAGAACACTTGGAATATAGTGCACGAAAACTTTATGGTGCTTTATAATGTTTTTGTGCCTTTCGTGGGGCTTAACAATAACACAGAATACTATACGCACAATATCGGATTTGGATTGGTCTCATCTGACCGATACACGATCCAGCAGAAAATGACCGTATCGGAGCCGATACCGATATTGAGTATCGGATCGGTGCATCCCTATTTAAAATATGATTATAGTATTGAATATGGTCATATTATATGAAGCAAAACCATCTCACTACTGTCTCCTCAGAGGAGAAGAAAGGAAGCCTTCAGGAAATGGCCAATCAGAGAGGAGTAGCATGTCGAGCTCAGGGCTGGAAAGTGCACCTGTGTGCTGCACAGCTGCTACAGCTGGTGGGTTCTTCAGCTGTATTTCAGTGTCATTTCCACCAGAAGTCTCTACAGTGGCTTAATTAGAGTTTCACTGTGTTGTGTGTATATATATAATATATTATGCTAACAGCCTGTTATTGATGCAGTTAATGCTGCATATAGATAACATTTTAATGAATTCCTTTCTTGTTTGGTCACAGACTAACTTGGAGCATGACGTGTACA